CGTATTATCTCATTGGGAAGCATGGCTTTGATAAGATACTACCGGCGCCTATGGATAAAGAGTTAATACACTTATTATTAAAAATACAATATTTGTTTAATAATAATCAAATATTTTTGCTTCATTTTCATTGATTTCCTGCCATGAAATGCAATCTTCAGCGAAGATAATGACAGTCACGGCATAGAAGACGAGGAGGTGTTCACTGCACTCGGTTTCAAAAAGCAATTCCTTTAGATTTAAATCTCAATTTCCGAAACGGCTTTTTATTCACGTATAAAAACACAGCGCATAGAAAATACATGTCTTTATAATCATATCAATGAAAAACAAAATTATATTTATAAATCTAGTAATATTAATGGCGTTCGTGAGTGTGTATGTGTCTCGCCTCACAAGTCTGTCTTCGCCTCGTCGTCGTCGCCGCGGTTACCGCTATCGGAGCTGTCGGTGCGCTCATCGCTGGTCGCCATCTCAACGCCCGCATCCCTGTCCTCATCGATCTCCGGACTCTCGTGAATGTTGTCGATCTTTGGCGCCTCTTTGGACAGCGTATTCTTGATGTCCGATATCTGGAAGCGATTGAATGGCGACTCATTGCGTCGATTATCATAAGCTATTTGTGCCATTTCTTTCAGATTCTGTGCCATCCCTTTGCCGGTCATGCGGACCATCGACGCGAAGAGTCCGCTCTCGTTAGCCAATAGTGTGTGCGGTTCGTCAAACTCGATGACCCGCCCGGCGTCCAGCACTAGCACCCGATCCGAGTCCATAATGGTGTGCAGCCTATGGGCGATGGTTAGTACTGTGCAGTCGGCGAATTTGTCCCTGATGGTCTGCTGGATCAACGCGTCAGTCCTATTGTTATTTTGTCATAAACAATGTAAAGTTTATATGTTTATTATTAATATCGATTAACAATGAGCTAGGTGCTCTTTTGGTAAATGTTTACTATGTAAACTAATGTGTGTTTATAACGAGTCATGGGTTGTTAGACTATTTTTAATGTAGATGTTAAGAAATAATAACTTGGTAATCAGTTCCTAATGTTAATAATAGTGCTGTTTTTGGGGCCAAATATAGTGTAAATCTATTTAGAAATATTTTTCTAGTGTTTAATCGTGTGATTTAATTGATGCCATATAATGCCTGAACATTGACCGACACCTCATTTATTATGGGATTTATCTATAGAGCACTTTCTCGTATCGGAATTATATTATAAATACTATGACTAAAAATATACATGTTTATTAAGTATTGCTAACTATTATTAAACTATTGTTATCTTAAATAAATTCGTGGAAAATATATATATATATATAAATGTATAATATGTATATGTATTTGTCATAAAAATCAGAGCCAAAAAGACTATAGTAATCAATATTATCGATAAACTAAATCAGTAATAAATGCATAAAACAAACACAAATCGGTAATTATTACTACTATTATTAGGTGTTGTGTTTAATCAAACACTCATGTAATTGACTGTAATTTGTGTTATCACTTTAATTACTGTATTAATAAAGCACTTATTGTATTAACACGTATTGTGTAAATGAAAAGTATAAAAATCAAATAAAAAAATGCTGATAACGTTATGGCAGAAAAAGTGATCATTAAATTAACGGTAATATAAATAACGATTGTATTCAATGATAAGCTCGAGAGATATCCTATAGTTTTATAACTCACATAACTATTAAACTACGGTAAAAAGTTAGGGCAAACAAAAAAGCATGAATGTAAGCACACGTACGTGGGGTCGACATTGGCCGTGGCCTCGTCCAGCACCAGAATCCTATTGTTCTTGAGTATAGCCCGGGCCAGGCATATGAGCTGTCTCTGACCAACACTGAAATTGCCGCCGCCTTCCGATATGTCTGCGTCCAGACCTCCGGCCAGGTCTATGACGGCGTCCTTGAGGCGGACCTCTTCGAGCACTTCCCACAAGCGTTTGTCTGTGTGGCCGTTGAAGGGGTCGATGTTTCGCCGCACGGGACCGGCGAACAGCACCGGGTCTTGCGGTATAATTGACAACTTGTTACGCAAATCGGCCAAACTTATGCTGGAGGTGTCCACGCCGTCGATCACCATTAGACCAGTTGGCGGTGACATACGGA